TTGCTTTTATCCTCATTAAGATTCGTGATTTGCAGTAGCAATCGAACGCCATCGTCTTCTGGTAGGAAAATTTCGACGACATCGCCGATTTTAGCATCGGGAAGTTCTTTTGAATTCAAAATTAAGTCTTCAACTGCGGAAAAATTGCAATAAAACCCATTAAAATGTCGGCCAGACAGACAGTCTGGAAATTGCGTTGTTGTTTTTTTTCCTCCATCGACTTACCACTGAAGTTTTTTTGATGCGTGATTAATTTGTACAATTTCATTGTTGACATCTTATCACATCAATTCAATTTGAATGGTATTGCATTTAAATAATTTAATCGGTGTCATGACATTCTACAAAAACTACGCTACTATGAACAACATTTATTCAAAATAAGATAGAAAAAAAGTAAGCTCTTTCTCTCTTAGCCACATATTACAGCTGTTGGCATTTTTTTTTAAATTCTATTGATTCATCGAAGAATCGATTTAAATTTACTGCGTAAATGAGTTGAACAACAATTAATATGAGCCTAGAGTTGATTGCACGACATGGATGCTTTTGAAATGCAATTCATTTCCGTGCTCTGGTTTTTTATACAAATAAAAATCTATTTCGCAATTTGTTTTCCACAACAGAGAGCATCAATACAATTGACATGTTTACATGTGTGATCAACCGGTTGACAGGTGGAAATGTCAAATGTTGAAAAACCAAGAATTTCGAATTCATCGAAATTATAAAGAGCTTTTTTGGGAAATTAAATCAAATTATTGTCGAATTAATGTAAATCTCGTGCGCAAATATGCATCGTAATCATTCGGATAGAACGCATAGCAATTGAGTACATTCAAAGTTCGGGATAACGATTTGGGCTATGTGCGTTTGACCGAATATCGAGCAAAACCCATGTCAGAATGGCATATTTGAGATGGTAACACATTGTGTCAAACGTGATTAGCACTGTACCACCGATACACAGACAATTTAGAACACAACAACACCGACAAGTTGCTGGTAATTAACTATATATTCTCATATATTAAATTTAACCCGAAATGCTTACAGTTTGTTGTTTGGTTTTTTATTTTGTATAAATTCTGATCAATTTTTTTTTTATCAAATCCATGACTTTTTGCTAAATTGATAACCATTTTGTTAATTTTGATTTTTCTTAATGCATTCAGTATATTTTTTTTTAGTTGACCGTGTGCACATAACCTGGCAAATAAGTTGCATGTAAAAAAAAGACACAATATTAAAAAAACGTTCGTGTAAAGTCATTCATAATAGGCTATATGCTATATGAAAACGATAGACACTTTTATTTAAATGGACTTACAACAGATTCTTAGTGTTATTTTATCGGTTCTGGGTTCCTTGATATTAGTTTGTTTGGCCGTTTTACTAGGTATATCCACTTAATGCATTTCTATTTACCTAATTTTCATATGATTTTCTTTGTCTCTTGTCCATTTTTATCTTTATTTCATAAAATTTGCCGATTCTTTTCGAGTTTTGTTGTTTTTGTTATTGTGTGAGGAGTGCTGCGCATGAGAAATTGTTCGCAAATTCATTCCGAACTCCATAGTGTTTTGATGTAACACCAAGAGTGAGGTTATGTGTGTGCGTCGATGTGAAGCTCCCCTTGCATATAACCAATTGTTTCTTCTGATGATGATGTTTTAATCACGTTTCCGTTTTTCTCTCTGCAATTAGGTTGGTATTGTGTTTGGAAGGTATTCTTGTCACGGTTTCGTTTGGTCAGAGAGTTATTGGGTCAAATTAGCGACGGTTCGCCATCAACGAACGGTTCAAAGAGTAGTGACAGCACCAAGGGCCGAGTGAAAAAAACACGACGTGATTAGAGGGAGAGAGTGAGACACAAAGAGCAACGAAAGCAACAACAATTCCTGATCGTATCAAACTAATCAATCTGACAAAACAAAATCGCCATCATGAATATCCGCTGTGCAAAACCCGAGGATCTCATGAATATGCAACATTGCAATTTGCTCTGTTTGCCGGAAAATTATCAAATGAAATACTATTTCTATCATGGTTTAACGTGGCCACAGCTCAGCTATGTTGCCGAAGATGACAAAGGCAACATTGTTGGTTATGTATTGGCAAAAATGGAAGAGCCCGAACCGAATGAGGAAAGTAAACACGGTCATATTACATCGTTGGCCATAAAACGATCATATCGACGATTGGGACTGGCTCAAAAACTAATGAACCAGGCATCACAGGCAATGGTTGAATGTTTTGATGCACAATACGTATCGTTGCATGTACGCAAAAGCAATCGGGCTGCATTGAATTTGTACACGAACTCATTAAGCTTTAAGATTTTGGAAATCGAACCCAAATATTATGCAGACGGTGAAGATGCATACTCAATGCGACGAGACTTATCAGAAATAGCAAAAGAACTCGATCCGGACAAGCAAATTGAAGGCGGCGAAATCGGCAATGAAGTTGTATTTAAAACCAAACCACATCCAGATGCTCATGGCCATGGTCATGCTCATCACGATGGCCACTGTTGCTCTTAAATTGCATTTCATTCGTTTTCTGGGTTCATCTTTAAATTTCTCTTTTCTACCAAAAACAAGGCTACTTGTTGACACAGGTATCGGTAACAATAAATTATCCAATAAATACGCGAAACACAAAACACGGGACTACAAAACAAGATTGTATTCATACGTATATTGCATACTGGAAATAAATTATCAGTCAAATGGAAATGATCAAAGTCGTTTTTCTTAGGTAGTTTTAAGGTTACAGATTTTTTTCAGTGACTTTTCAGGTTGGATGTGATTATGTGTGGTACCCTTTTTATGCCTTTTTTCCTTCACTTTGGCTAAATTTCCAAAATTTATCCAATAATTTCGGCTTGTTATTGCCGCCAAATTCATTTGAAACCTTATGTTGAACGTGCAATGAGGGAAAAGTACTTGCGTTATCTGTTGGTGAAGTTGTGTACTAAGTTTCTGTTATGTTCACAGCATTGCAACGTGTTCTCTCAATCCAATTATCTCGATTCGATGCGATGCAAATGTACAATTCTAATAATTTATTGAATGAGAATGACCAAACAAATGGCTATTGTATGCAATGGGCAATCGATACCATTGAAATGATAAGCTGAGTGTTCGATTGAACGATGCAGAAAGGTGACACATTTAAATTCATTCGCTGGCAGGTATGAGTTGTCACTTTTGCAACAAATGGTTGTTGGAGCTGTCAAATCTCTCTCTTCCTCTCTCTCTCACTCTTGGGTGATAACCAATTAGATTTATGTGTAAATATTTAACTGAATCAAGAAGATTGCAGATAGAGACGGGAAAAAATATCCATATCATTTTGACTGTGTGTTGTCTGTTGTGTGTGCGTTTTTTTTGTGTGTAAATTTTATGTTTTCATATAATTTTGCCTACGGTTTTGTGCTTGATCCGCTTTCCAATCAATTTTCCACCGATAAAATCGAGTCAAAGTGAGCGTGAATTGAAGTGAAGACAAAAACTATTTGACCATTTGTGGTTTCTTTTTTCAATAAGTGGATAAAAGAACAAGAGACTTATCGAGCATCGGCAACGAGCAAAAAAAAAAAAATAAATATGTCGGCAAGAAATATACAAAGTGACACGTCGCGAGTTGTTGTAAAAAATCCATTATTAAGTGCAGTGGCTGGTTCAATTGATGATTTTGTAAATAATTCAATTCTATTGCCTGCTGCGGCTCCAGTCGTCGTTGCAACAACACCACCACCACCACCACCACCAACGCTGCCGCTGTCGCATGAGAATCGCGATCCAAAAGACAATCGAGGTAATGCACCTGCCATATGGCTCCATTCACTTCGTCCCCAGTCTCTGCTCCTTCACCAATTAGCCGATTATTAGTTTCGGTGTCAAATTTTAGCATGAATTTAGCATAGTGAAAGTGTCAATGCTTCCAGTCTGTCAAATCGCTTTCAGTTTCAATGAACTTTCACCAGAAATTAGACAACAAAAAAAGACCAACAACAATCTACGTTTCCTCAAAGTTACAAAATATGTATTTATTTTATGTGCCCTGTTTTCATTGTGCTTATCTAAATTTGCTACTCTTACAAAAATGAATCCATTCGTTTCGCGTATGGCATTTAAAGGCTTAGAGAGAGAAAGAAAATCTTAGTTTAAGTTAAGAAAAGTGATCACTTTTAGCAGGAGCTAGATCAATATGAGCGGATCTTGTTTTTGTTTTTACCAAAAAAGAGAGGAGAAATGCACAGAATGATGGATGCGAAAACAATGGTTTACGTAGCACGATCTCTTTCGGCACGACTTCGGTATACCGGCAACTCACGAGTTGTTCGATGCTTTTTGCAGCAATAAACAATTGCCCAGATTATCGCAATGATAATTACGAGCAATAAAAGTGTGCCAAGTACAATTGCGACAATTTCCATTGGTTCTAAATAAAATTCGGTCACATCCAGGGTGATTGTCTTTTGATTGCCGGTTAAATCATAACTTGTTATCGAAACACGTGGAGTACAACACGATGCCGTATACGTAGCCTTTACTTCTTGCGTTGTGCCGGCAGTATAACGATCGCGAATCCATATGCCCTTTGGAATCGATTGAAGCCGCAAAAACCCGGTGTCGTGATCAATCGTCGTTATATCCAATGACCAAGTGGAATCGGCACATCGACCGGCATCGGTGCGACCATAACAACGGCTTCCATAGCGCCAGTAGATGTATGGCGCATAACGATCCTGTCAATCAATGAAAAGTCGAATTCATTAGGATTTTTCTTTGTGTTGGATGAATTTTTCAGGGAAACCTGGCTTTGAATCTAATGAATTTTCGAATAGTCTTCTTTTACCAATGTGTGTGCCTGTGGCGATGTCACCGTTAGAGTAGCCGATTGGCTTGCCATATTGGCCCCTTGTGATGTGAATGTGATCTTATCCTTGGTACCAATCTCAATATTTGGCGGAATGTAACACGTTACAATTGCATTGTTCGACTGGCCCGGTTGCACCCACATCCTTTGAAATCGAGCAATCAATTAGACTCTTTGAGACATTTTCAAATTTTCTTTTTTACAAATTTTCAAATTCATTTCGTATACTCACGATCCTGGATTGAGCGAGCGCAAAAATCGTTGTTCGTCGACCACTTGAAAGTTGTGAAACGTTGGCACATTCCGCAAATTGGTGACTTCATAGTGGATTTGAACGGTTTGGCCAGGATTTGCAAGCAATTGTGATTGTGCGCCCAAATCGATTTTAGTGATCGATTGAAGTATATTTCTTCCACTGCGCTCCTGAATAAAGTCAGTGCCTGCGAATAAATGGGAAAATTTGTCAATTTCATCAATTGTGTGTTTTTTCGTGTGCACACACACACACACGCGCCGTTTGCGTGATTTATTTTTATCAATTGAGATTAGCCATACCATTAGTTTCGAATTGTTGTTCGTCAAATTGATTATCGGTTTGGTATTCGGGCCAAACAACATCGTCATCGTGTGCTTCCGACAGTTGTTCGCTGTTAAAATAGAGACATTTCAATTTTGCTTTAAATTTCTGTAGAAAAAAGAAACAAATTGTGAGACAGTATACCTTCTACGATTCCGTAGCATTAACTCTTTGCTCGACGTCAGTTTGTCTAAGATAAGATGTAAAGAAAATACAAAGTCACCTATGATGAATAAAAAAACTACTTGTACTTCGAAGTACAAGTTAATTGATCATTAAAACGTGTAAGCATGTGAGCGTCGTACTGCTTTTGACAATAATATCTGTGTAATTTCTGAACTGGATTCGATAAAAAAAAACTTCCCCAAGCTCATTCGTGTAATTAATTAACCGGCCGGTGTATGAATGATAAAAAATGCCATTCCATGGCTTTTGTGTCACATTATAACATTTCAAAAACGACAAAAAATAAGAAGAGCGGCGACTGTCGTCGTTCGATATTTGCATCCAAGCGTGATTTTTCAGGTCATATTACAAACATGTGTGCCTGAGATTCTCTTCAATGAGTAATTGTCGTGTGATTACAAATAAACTGAAACGGAATAATGAAACAGAGGAGGAAAAAAACCGCACACAAAAAACGCAAAAAGTACAACGTTTTTTTTTCATTTCGTTCGTTGTTCAAAGACAACGTTTGTGTCGTAAAAAGATCAAAGTTAACTCTGTGTATTCTGACTGATGGATTTTGACTGTTGGATTTTTTTTCCTTCTCTTGTCTCGTCATTGCCTTATTTCATGCGGCATATATACTTTTGTTTAGATGCTATTTTATTGTCGTACGTGTGAGAGAGTCATTTGGTTTTTGTTGTTGCTCATTCAACAATTATTACGCGTTTGTTATACATTTACATTGGTCAAATCGAGGTAATTCCATTGGAGATTTGATTACATTCTATTCTCTTTTCTTTTTTTTGATTCATTTGTCTTGTATGTGTGTGTGAGATGGCTTGCTCATTCGCTCGCTCGCAGTGAAAAAAAAATGAAATTCCGAGTGCGTGTTTCTGTGTCTATGTGTCGAATGTGAGTCGACTTGCTTACGAATATACAATGTATTTACTTTGGTCATCATTATATTTAACATTATACATTTTTAAAATATGTCGGATACGGTAGTGTTTATGCGAACAAATTCCGAAGCAGTTCAGTTAGTTGAATGTGATTTATCGCTAAGGATACATCACTTTTTTTTTCTTTTGTTGTGCTTGAATGCAATAGAATCTAGGCATTCAAGAAACAGGTGAAAATACAATATTTTCTTCAACTTTCAAGTGAAAATTGGTTTTTCTTGTTTTTCGAGTACATTCCAACGGAATTCAGTGGTGATGACAATTTACGGTGTGAGTATCCCTGCGCAGATAAAAATAATGTGAAAAAGAAAACCGTTTTAATGATTGTGAAGATTTCGAATTGAAATATGCGTCGCGTGAGATAAAGTGTGATTAAAATGAAATAACGCACTTGATAACATGCAAGAGCAATCCTGTCGAATGCCATGTTTTTTTTGTTCAAGGTGCATACAAAATGGGTTTTTGCATGCAAATTCGAATAGAGTGTAAGTGAACGTGTGGTCTCTCTCTCTGTGTGGATCAACATGTGAGTGTTGCGTTTTTTTTTTTATTGTTTGTTTGTTTTCGGCATGCTGATGCGAAAAATAACAACAGACAATTTCCTCGTGCCCAGTTCTAGATAGTGTTCATGTCATTCTAGGCACATTCAGTTACGTATACATTTTTCAGTTGTTTTTTTGAATATATTTTTCCGCAATTATAAATGAAATATAATAAGCAAACTAAAATTGATATTCAAAAACACTTGACCTAAGTGCGATTAAGATTGCGAAATATTTTCATGTCATTTTTTTCTGCGATCTGGCCGTACGCTCTCTCTCTCTTCCGTCTTTGCCTCTCGTCATTGATTCGCGTTGAGATCATACGGCTATGACGTTTTGACAGCCAATAAACAAACTGAAAAGAACACTGACAACACATACACACACACGGAATTTCAATTCGGATGAACCATTCGACTGTTTGAAAAAGTTGACTGGAATGTATTTGAAAACGCGACGCGCGCGCGCGCGCGCTTACGTCAATTTGGCGTAAATGGATTCAAATTCAGAATATCGAATTTTGAAACTTGAACAACCTGATTAAGAGGTTGTCGATTTGGGGACTCAAAACGGCAAATATTTATTTTGTTTATCCGCTTTTTTCACCATGCGAATTGTATTGAATGGTTTGTGAGCACACTTACCGACTGGAGCATTGATTGGGCTACCAACTGAATCGATTGCACCGTTCTTGATCAATCGTCGATCAAATTCCGAATCAACGACCAGGCCATATTTTCGTTGTATTCCATTGCTAGTCACCTCCGGTATAACAGTTAACGAGTAAATACCTTTTGGTGCGTCCGTTACATTCAAATTAATGTATGTGTTGTCGTCCGTTGAATAATCGACGCGTGAACCAATCGAAAATCGTGCAACGGAATCTTTGCTCAATAAATTGTATATTGATCCTATAGAATCATGATAATAATTTTGCATTCATTTAATTCATTTCCAGAGGAAAAAAAAAAGAAACAAAAAACTTCACTTTTCCCAATTTCCAAAGAATTTCTATGTACAAACCCCAAACAAAGAAAGCACATTAACAGGTGTTTGAATGTGTAACCGAATGAAAAAGCAACTCGATAAACATTCGATTCGTTTGAATTCAAAACAAAGACACAAACCATCCCATTTTATCCGAAGCAGTGGTGTTGCAGTGAAATTGTTCTATTTTGAATTACGATGAATCGTAACAATACCTGTGGATGCTGTTGCGCATGTCGAAAAAATGGGAAAGCAAAACAACAACAAACAAAACACAACAACGAAGACTGAGCAAGACAGAGAGAGAGAGAGAACGTACACAAATGTGAGATGAAAACTTCGAACATTCCGTTTCACCACTGAAATCGTCGAATTCTAAATGACGATGATGAAAAGTGGAATTCTTCATGATTCGATTTATTTCTTGCTCGTTTTTTTCTCTTCGATTACATTGCATATTTTTTTTGCTCTTGTTTGATTCATTCTTTCCCGAAATTTCAAATTGTTTTGCATCTAACCTAACCTATGAATCAAAAACGACAGCGAGTATGTATGTGTGTACTGCGCGCTGTCAACAGCTGTCATTGTTTGATAATCGTACCATATGTGTTTGCTGCTTTAACTTTCTATTCCGCTCTCCCTCTGTCTAACTCTCTTCTTACCATTTGGCTCGCTCTCATCGCGCTTGTCTATGTATATTTTCACGTATTTTTGATTGCGATTTTTTTCTATTTCATATACGGTACGCACACATTTCAATATTGTTTTCTATTTTTCTTCGCTTTTTTCTTCTCTGCTCTCGTCTCTCTATTGCTGCTGCTACTATTGTTGTTGTTGTTGTTGCTATTGCGTTACTGCTCTTTTGCGTGTTTTTATTTCTCTTCTCTCGCACCGTAAATACACACGGTGGGCTAGCTGTCATCGCTCGTAATAGTTATGCTCATCAAACGATCACAAAAAAACAATTTGTTTCATTTTGGCGAGGGAGAATTACTTTCGTTTTGTGAGCAGTCACGATGAAAAAATTGTTAAAATTTTTCTAACTTTTCTTTTAGACATTGTGTACGAAGTGTGTGTGAGTGTTTCTTTTTTTTCGCAGCTCTTCAAGTGTTGCCGACTGTTCAATGAGAAGAAAACACAGTGAATAAAATAAATTTCATTGTTCTATCTGTTGATAGAGTTTGGTTCTGTGTTGATACTCGAAAATATGCATTGTATTGTGGATGTGCGTGTATAAAATTCGTCGTCGTTGAATGAAATATGAAATCGAGAGCATTTGCATTTTGTTTCGATACAATTTTCAGTGGAATTTTGAATGTTGAACAACAGACCAAATAAAATAACAAAAAGAAGAAGAAAACGAAAGATAACTCGGTGAATGCATGTTTAACGAACACGAACCGATTGAATAGAGAGATAACGAAAGTTACGCCGAAAAAAGAAGAAAGTGCCCGATTGAATGTAAGTGAGTTTTAGCCCTCCATATGTATTACATATGTATAAATAACCTTCGACTTGCTCTTCGCAATATACGGCCTTTGGCGGAATTGTCATGTGTTGGAGTCGCATTTGCCGCATTCGTCTCATGCCCCCCAAAAATACACTATCACCAAATCCATCGAAAAAAAAGACATACAAAATTAACATAAGCAAAAAATAAACAAACACAGCACGTTAATATAAAGCGAACGTAAAAAAATAATTAGAACGCATAGCGCAAAAAAGGGAAATGGGTTGAAAATACCAAAACAAATACACTTGATATGGAACCAGGAAGCATCATTACATCGTGTGTTATGTGTGTGTGTGTGTTTGTGTCAGAGATGACTTTAGCGCACCCGGGTATTTGTGTTGTTTTTTGTTGTTTTTTTCTTCGTTATACTTTACCATTTTGGACAAAAAAACTTTATATCAATATTTTGTGTAACATAACAAAGAACAGTCTTTGAAAAACCACATTTATATTAGTAAAATATGAAGAAAAAATCCACAAAAGTAGAAATTGCGTAATATTGCGAAATTGAGCCAATGCGCGTAATTACTAGGTGCATATGACCACACGATGCGAATACCGGGGGCAGAAAATGTAAGCTCTTCTTCGTTATGTTACACAAAATATTATTTAAAAAAAAATCCTGGCCAAAAAGCTAAAGTAGAACGAAAAAACAACAAAAATACTCGGGTGTGCTGTAGCGCATTTGAGTGCGCTAAAGTCATCTCTGGTTTGTGTTGTTGTTGATTTTTTTTTTCATCATCACCACCAAACCAATATGGAAATGGAGCAAATTCTAAAATATACATATGCATTCGCTGTATTTGAAATGGTGTTGCTCACTATTTTTTGATGTTCGTGATATGTAATCGTCTTTGGAAACCTATTGCAGCGAATCTATAAAACATCAAACCGAATGAGCCGAACCATTTCTATTTCGCTTGTTTGCATGCTGCTGCTGCTGCTGCTGCTGCTGCTTTTTTCGCAATTGTAAATGTGTGCGTGTACGATCGTAAGCGTGCACCAGCGCTCATTCATCATCTTCGTACATAATAACTCGTTAATTTAATACAATGATTCGATTAAAATTACATTGTTTTTATTTTGTTACAATACTATTTACAATTAGTGGCATTCTTTTTCTCTTATCGTTTTCACATGACAGTTGATTCGACTTAAAACACTTGTATAAAATCTAGTTCAGAGCCAATGATTTTGGCAAGAGTTTAAGGTTTGTTTGTTTTGTTTTGTTTTGTTTTTCTTCCCCTTTTGATTTCAAATCATTCAACAAATGGTTGTTTGTTGTTGTTGCTATGGATATCGTCGTCATTGCTGTTGTCTTTTTTCCTATTGCAGCGCATAATGGGTAAGGCATAATATTCTTGTCATTAGTAACCAGCTTATTGTTTGCTCAGTTTTTAGCACATCATTTTTTGTTCGTTATAGTTTTCAAGTGGTCTTCATAGCACAAGTCGTAAATGATCGTTCTAACAGATATCATCCATCTTGTCACTTGACCCTATCTTCGACACGACGAGATTTCATGCATACCCTTTGCCGCTAGAACAGCCAACAGCAATGATACACACACAAACATAAAAACAAAAAAACCAAAATGAGTGGACCTATAATCGTATCTACGTTTTTTTTGTACTATATGCGTGTGTATTTCTTGTGTTTTTGACCAAAAAAAATAGAACAGAAGAATAATGTTTAATGCCTCGATGGGCCTTGGATCTTTACTCGATGATGCAAATTTGCCCGCGAAGAAATGAAAAAAAAAACTTAGATACCGTTGACACTAATACAACTTAGACATATACAAGATACACATAACATAATACAATATATTGAAGCGACGAAAACATAAATGTACAGACGCCATACAAATCTACAAAGCACGAGTATATAAATATAATTAGCGTGTTGTGAATTAATTCTGTTCTTCTTTTTTTATATAATTGTGGTTGTTGTTGTTGTTCTCTAGCTTACGGTTGACTGTTGCTGCGTCGTTTCCATCTGTTCTTCTTTTTTTTATCATCTTCTTCTATTGTTTAATATGTACAGCATTTCACATAAATTTAGTAAAACATTTACTATATAAAAAACGACATATTGAAAGCACGAAAAATACGATGCGATCGATTCGTTGTCACCCTGATGATTGGACAGAGCAGAATTTAGCATAAACAGAAAGAAAATGAACGGTTATCCGAAATGATATGCTCGCATTGAATCGATCGCACAATATTAAAGCTAAAAATGCACATTTTTCTCTTTAACATATGTAACGAATACAATTTTTGCTCTTTTTTTTCTCGAAGGGAAACGCACGCAAACAGACATAAAGACGAACAAACCAACAATGGCTAGACAATTTAGATCTTTTTTATAATCTCTCTCTGTTAACTGTACACTAAATTCGGGCACTAACCGCCAATCGGTGTGATTAATGTCGCCTGATCCACGGTTCCTTGGATTTTTATGTGCAAATTCGTATCGGTCGCATTTACGGGAATTTCCAACACTTGAGCACCTTGAATGTCATTCTGTAAGAAGTGTGTTACCTGCAACAATGAAATTGACATGGTTTTTAGCACAAATGAATTTTGGCTTTCTTTTGGTATTCAATGTAGGAAATATTCAACTTACTAGACCCATGTCGCCATTGCCGAGCGACTCTTCGGTTACACGTAGAATTTCACCGCCAGATCGTAAAGCCACTTCACCCAAAGCACCACCCGTCGATGTTTCGTTGTCATCGACCTCTTGATCACCGAACCAAATCAAGAATAACTGAGAGAAAAACAGCTTGATTAGAACATCTAATGACTATGAATTTGTCTCCATTGAAAAGTTCTTCGCCAGAAAAAAAAAAAAGAAACGAATATTCAAAACCATACCCGAATTCGTTTCTTCAATAAAATGGTTGCAGCATTTTTCATCAAACTGATATCTTGCGGAATCTTATCGGTGCTGATGAAAATGGCGCTATCGTACGGAACCAATTCCGATGCTCGTAAAATGCCATAAAAACCGCTGCCACCTTCGATCATTTCACGTGACTCTTGTACACTGTCCAATCCAGCAATCATGGTTCGAGTATTCTTGAAACTGTACGTCACTCCAACACCTGTTTCAATACACATAAAAAAGCAAATCGTGCAAGAAAAACATACACGTATTAACGTCTTAATTTTTTTTTCGTGGTGCACTCAAACTTAAGTGCTTTTTCGCAAGAATCAATTGTTTTTGCATATGGCGGGAATGTTTTATAAATAGTATCGATTTTTTTTTGTTCTCTGCTGACCGATGTGCCGTGGAAACAGAAGACCTTGACATGTAAACCAGAAAAATAATAATGCAAGAACCAAAAAAGAACGTTGATTTAAAGCTTAAAAGCTTTGAAAAAAGACAACCACACACACTTTGCATTCTTATGACGTTGCAACTCTTTATCGAGTTGTGTATATCATCATGCATAACATATGCATCACAAATGTGCGACTGTGATCGGCGTGAATAAATTTTCGGTTAATCTTATTACACAATTTGTGTATCACCGTCGGCCCAAAAAAAACGAAACCCATTTTTTTATGCGACGAACAAAAAAATTGTCGTTCGTATCAGACAAAATGTCTTCGACACGATTACGAGTGTTGGTCGGTTTGTGAGTGAGCGTTGTTATTGGGCCCATCATTCCAATAAAACACTTGCACTCATTCTCATATGATGGGCTCTTTTCACATGTGAAACGCGAATATAATCAAATTCATAACGCTGATAGCCGAAGAAAAAAACAGAATTAATGAAGGCACAAATGAAATTTAAATAAAGGAAAACGACAATAGAATTGAAAAAAAATTTAATTGAATAAAATTGCCTTTACTTCACGATATGAAAACGTTTTCCGAATCATGGGGGTGAGTCACGTTCTTGCATTTTAGCAGCTGTTTTGAAATGAGTTTAAATACAAGGCTAATTATATTACTGAACGGGCTGTTGATAATTTTCTATGACGGTGATCCCGAGTCCGGTATGATCAAATGAACATTTCACGTTTGACATCGAAAATTAGCCGTTTGAGATACATTAATTAAGAGTTGACTTGATCGCCGACAATTTGTGCGATGCAAAAAGACATGATGATGATGATAATTAATAATCGGTAAGCAAAACGCTTTAGATATGATTTGTGGTTTATAAACGTGGCCTTTTTTTTATTGCCAACTGCGGCATTTGATCTGAAATGCGTGCCGTATATGCTGCGTGTGTGTTTGTGTGTACAGAAGAGTGACAGAGATTGTTTGATTGACTAATAGACCGGTGGGCCTTCAAAATCCACTGAAACTCTTCTGCCATCGAACAACATTTCAAATATTTGCTCTTCGCATGCAAACCAACGGACAGCCAATTTGCATTGATCTTTTGCTTTCGATTGGTTGCTGGCCAAATATCTTTCATTTTATTTATTTTTGTTTGGCTTTTTTTTTTCTTGTCGTTTGGTCTCTGTTTGGGTATCAGTATCGTTATGGCAAAGTTATAATTATTCGGATTTGTTGTTGTTGTTTTCCAATCATGTCTTACCTGACGAATTAAAAGCCACTAGAACGATGTCGATCGGTGTGTTGGGTCGTAGTGCTGATTTCCACAGTGTTTTTGCTTTTCGTAACGGTTCTGGCGCAGTATTAATGAGCGTGGCTAGCGGTGCTCGTAGAAATGTGTCATCCAAGTATTTCCGCACGATTTCATCGGCACTGTATTTGTAAACGCGTGGCAATTCTTCGATTTTTTTCGACTTTTTGCCCATGGATTGCGTTGGTATAACCACTTGAGTGCCGGCCAATGGTGCTGGTGCTGGTGCTGGTGCGAGTGGACCATCATCGGCCAGTGTTACCGGTGATGTTAGTGTGCTTGTTGAGAACTGTAGACTGTTTGGTGGCCGTGTCGATATGTAGACAGGCGACGAGGGTAATGATGTAATTGTTGTGTCCATTGAGTATGGTACGGAGGTTATTGGTTGCGAATAATTCGTTTCGATAGCTTCGTCATTTACATAATCCGCGCTCTCATTGTGGATATTCGAATCGTTTTGTACGAAAATAACCTGTGGTGCCTGTTGCGCAGCATTACCCGTTTCATTGACCAAATCCTCGTCACTTTGGTTGTCAATGATCGACGGAACGAACGGAAGAGCCGGTTTGCTCATCAATAGCTCGGCATTCGGTGCCGTTTGTTCGTATGATGCAAGTGTATTCGTTCGCTGTGTACTTTTCACGATACCATTCATCGAGCGCATCGCTACATTTTCCGCAAACAATTTTATTGTGGTCTGTTGCTCGGTTTGCGGTGGAATCGTTGTCGTTATATCACCGGTATCGTTGTCATCGTCGGCACTGGGATTGGTTGTCTCCATAGCTATTTCGGGCTCAATCTCTTCGATGGGCTGCCATGGTCTCTGTTGCAATGATGGTGGCATCATAAATGGTGGCCCAGGCATTTTGTAGAATTTTTCGTAGGAGCTTTTAAAATCGGCATAGTCTTTTTGTGGATCGAAGGTTTCATCTGAGCCCGTTGGATCATACACATCGGCCATTGTGTCGGTTGTATATTCAACTGGTACATTTGCCGCGTGTGACATGTAAAATGCCACCAACACCATCACTAGTATTTTATTGAATCGATGCATATTCACTACAAAAAAAAATTCCGCTTTGACTTTGGTCACTTTTGAATAGAAACAACTACAAAATTATACCACAAAAATTCACTTTTCTTCAAAAAAATTTCCTCAACCAAATTAACTCAATTTATATTCAAATTCATCCGTCGTTGTTGGCTCGATCAATATCGTTGTTCGTAGTTGTCTTTGTTTTTATCTCACATTTCATACAATCACAATTCATACCTCAGTGCTGTGATTGACGGCTTCAATGCTTAATGCGGCTGCACAAGAGAAGAGAAAAAAAACACATTTCTATGAGAAGTCGTAAATTCAAATCGGAATAAATCAGAAAATCGTAAAAATGGTTATTTGTTATTATTATTTTTCGATCGAAACAGCGTGAAATGCAGTTGCAATATCATCAAATTGTGCTGTTATGACCTACACACAAAGATTTTACTGCTCGCTTATTGCTATGTTTGAAATAGCCGTTTATTTCTGAAAGGAATTGTTCGCTTTTCGTGATTTATTAGAAAGTCAATTCTATGGAGAGAAACAAAACGAACGAAAAAAAATATGAATAGCCCATCATACACACAAATCTGGAGGTGAATCTGTTAACTACATAAACAAATAAAACTTATTGAAGGCCAATGAATTCAAGCTCTCTCATCCCATTTCAGAGAAATGTATACGTATAAATCTTTGTTGTTGTTGTTGTTGCTTCTTCAATCATTATCTAATTCGCACGATTGACGTACGCTCACGAGAGGTACGCGACATTGATGCAAGCTCTTTTTTTATGAACTGACACCGATTGTGAGCCCTTTAAATGAACAACAACAACAGAAATAAAATAACGGCAAACCTTTTACTTATCACCAACGATCGATTGATCAATAAATTTTGATTAATCGGCATCTTTTGCTTTGTTTGGAAATTGCTTATTTTAAGCAAAACTATTTTCATCATTCTAAATATATGCAACGTCGATTGAAATATTGATTTCAATGTTTATTGCAAGAAAATCACTGATTCGAAACGGTTGAATTTGAATGCCGGCATATCATTTGATAATAATTTTGATGAATCTTCGAAATAGCATTTTCTTTCGAAACAATTCAATTTTTCAAGTTTAAATTTTCAACCATAGTAGTTCAACGAGAACTTAATTGATCAACATTGTTCGAAAGATTCCATGCATTGACGCATGAAAAGAATTCTTTTTCAATTTCAACTGAATCTATTCAAATGTGTTTTTTTGTACATTCATTCTGAATTTGGCGATGGAAGTTATTCACCTTTTCATATCACATCAAATTAGATTGAACATTTTGGCCCAATTATTTAACCTTACACAGAACATTTTACGAGTTACTGTAAATGTTGACCGTTAAAATTAATGGAAATAAATCGGGTAACAATCACAGAACAGAAATGGACATCCTAACAACAGTCGAACGATAATAAATAAATACACTTGTTCATAGCGAAAACTCAACGCGACGTAGAAATGCACTGACGTTGGATTAGAATTACGAAAAAGGAAAACATTTCGCATTTAAAGCGAACAAAAGAACTGAATCGTAACAAATGGCTATAAAACTTATCACGATCTCTGTATTTGTGGCAATAATTTGTCGGTATTTTTTCTTGTGTCTACATTCGTTTGAAAATACTATAGCAACGCTAAACGGAATCTCACAGCTTTGTGTTCTTTGAAGAGGAATCGTCGTCTAAGTTCGACCCGAAAGCCAGGTGTAAACTGAAAATCACGATACTAAGAAAATACATCGATACACACGGCTAGAACCAGAAAACACGAAAAATGGGGAGAAAGAGAGACCGTGTAAAAAGAGAGTGAGAACAAAGGAGAATAAGAAAGACAGGGATGAGATGCGAGCGTATCGCTCGAAAGCGAATAGAAGAAATAAGACGGAATAACTTCGATAATAATTAATATGCCCAATGATGCCGGCAAATGGATAATGATTGTAATAATATCGCTAAAATATCTTATGTACAAGACAATTTGAAATAATGTGCAGCGAAAAAATTAACGACAGCGCGCAACAAAGTTTTTTTATTCAACGATAGCCAGTCGACATATAGATAGAGAGACAATTGATTGGAGAGATAGAGAGGGAGAGAGAGAAAAAAACATTGGCGTAAGTGCATGTTGCATTCAATGTTTCTGTTTCATCTGCGGTTGCTATTATTTAGTGCTAAATGCAAAAGTTTAATACCTTGATCGGTTAATCGCCATAATAATTTAGATAGAAAAGAAGCAGAAAAAAATGCAACAACTTGCACACGAATACTACACGGGCAAATAAACGAAAAGAAAAATTATGTGTCTATCACACACCAACACTTCATTGAAAACTCGCTCCAAGTTCAATCATTCGAGTCTAGATCAGTGGAACAGATTTACAACGACGAAAAAATAATAATAAAAAACAGGTAGCTTATGGGCAAATCAAACACAATTTTTTTTTTTGTTCGTGTGTTGTCATCGAATTCGGCATTCACCCTGAAATCAAAGCAAACGCATTTCGTGTCGCGTAGCAAAACTACGAAAAACGTCTCAGAAGCAGAAGGATCGTAAAAATGCTTTCGAATTTGATTCGCCACATTTCCCCAAACTGTGTGTGGAATTTTCAATGCACAATTGTTCAATTTTTCGAGAGGGAAAAATGTGTGGAAGAGGAAAAGAGAGGAAAAAAGGGCAATACCAAAACAAAAAAAATATCGTAAACTGTCGCAATGGCATAATGATGTCGATTTCCAGTTTTCACAGCTTAAGCAGTTTATTTTAGTTTATGATAGGAAAGTAACCGAAGTTGGAACGGAGCAAATATTCGCATTTCTTCCAATTTTTCTCTCTTTTTCTCTCTCTTACGAATTTAACAGGTTTCGCATACGGTTTTGTTACTTCGAACATTTTCAGATCGAAATTGGCAAATGCTCATCATACTCTTTTATTTTAAATGTAAAATATTTCATTTTTTCGTTGTCTTTGTGTGTGTGTGTGTGTGTGGCTTTTTTTGTTGCGGTAAAAACAAATTGAACAAACACAATGTATTCGCGCCGCTCAAAAAGGCAATGTAAACAAATGGCTCTTCTTAGCATTCGTCGTATGTTTTCCATTGATCTTTCTCAATATTTGTCATTTTACATACGGTCGTTTCACTTGATTGCCTTGCATTTTTCTGTTTTCAAATTAATATTTTGTTGTAATTTTTTGTTCGTACTCGTTCATTTTCGAACAATACCACCAAAAGCTGAGGAAAAATCCATTGGTTTTCTCTGGAATTCAGACGAACACACTTAACATCTAAGAACAAATGGCACAGCGGTTGATGTAAATGAATTGCAACATAGTAATATCGCGATAGCACTCCCTCACGTGTGTGTTTCCGAAACATTGTGCATTATTGTTTCGGAACAGTAACAGTCGTACACAACCATCCACGGCGATCAAATATAAATGAATAAAAATGTATCGAATCCATTTGAGATGTGAATCAATAGAACATTCATCTCTCAGTGCCGAGCGAAACAAATCGGTTCGGTAGATTGTTTTATGTGTGTAGGTATGGTGTATTGTCATCTCGCCGGAAAAATGTCTGCCCAAACTAAACAATAGACGTTTTACGGTCGAACAACAGAAACAAACGAAACGTTACCAATCAAATTAAATCATCGAACAATACAAAACTGAACAGAGAATAAAAACTTTACGGGAAAAATCACAAATCAAACACAAAAAAAAACACCACCGACATCTCATCATATCAAAGCACAAATAATTATCACACAGGCAAACGAACAGAAGCGGAAGACAGAATTTTGAATGAATCAAATAATAGAGAGAAATGGTTAATTGCATTTCTGCGGTTTGTTGTTAAATTACAATACACCAAATACCATGTAAACAGAGCACAGTTCATTAGAATTAGGCAGAAAAAATTTATTTTTTTCCCATACGAATGCGGTTTGATGCGATTTTTGTTTACACACCCGAATCATGCGGTTGATTTATTTTTTTTATTGTTTTGAAAAATAACAAAATAAAATGCAGTTGAAGCCCAACTTGATGTTGCTGTTGTTGTTGATTTGGGCTTGGACCAATAGGCGTTTTTGAGTTGTTCGTATATAGTTTGTGTGACACGGGTGGTTCTTCTAATCGATGATACACCTTACCGAGTCGATAGTTAAAACGAAACTGAAAGCGAACGGCAAACTTATTGAACTGAAATGCTCCAAAGAATGTCATCACACATCACGCACCACATAAAAATATTATTTCAAAACATTAACACGTTTACGTGTATACACACGGCGCGCGCTCTCGATCGCCGAAACACGGGCCGCAAAAAGAAAAAACTCTCAGAGGACGGAGAGCGCGCACGAGAGAGCGCAGCGAGTGAGACAGAGAAAGAGACCGATAGAGTGGGAGAGGGAGCGGTAAATACAAAATACAATAACAAAAAAAAAAACAACAACAGCACAATTTTATAATATATATGTATATCTATATGTCGAACCGCACCACAGAAGCAGCAGCAGCAACATAAGCGCACATATGATAAAAATTCAAGACTGGAACAGCCGTACAAAACGGCTCAAAATCGGTCTTATGGACTCACTCTCGAATATATGTGTGTTTGCATATATATATGCATATAGGTGTGTGAATGCGGGAATGTCTCGTTTATGTGTTTATGGAAAGTTTGAATAACAACAACTTCACGAAAATGAATGGATAGACGGATAAAAAACAACATCATGCTAAAAATCACCGAATGTGATATGTAAGCGATGTGATTGTATTTGATACACCATGTCATGTGTTGGTATACATATATATTTTTTGGGCAAATCGTTGCTGCTGCTACTGCTGCTGCTGCTGCTGCGGTTGCTCTTCTTCCATGCCGATTTTTCAATTTGTTTTTATTTATTTGTTATTATGCCTTTTGCTCGGATTATTTCGATGTCGTTATCGGTTGGACGGGAGCTTCGTTCGTTTTACCTGAATCGATGCAAAATACAAAAATCATCACAAAATCTATTAACTTTTCTTCGTTACGCTCCTGTCAAAGCAGCCGAAGGAAAAAACGAAGCAAAATCTACCGAATAATATATGATTATTATTGCTGCTGCTGCTCCGTTGTGAATCTGTTCGGCAAGGTCTTCGGAAGATTTAATCTCTATCGTCAATTCCTGAGTGGTTTGCGCTCGTGATCGCGCGCGTGCGCGCGCTTTGTATGTGTTATGTTCACGTGTTCTACTTACTGAGCTTGGCCAAAGCATTCAAGACTCAATAATTAAAAAGAAAGACAAACAGAAAAAAAACCAAACCACCTTCTATTTTCCCAATTTGTACCCTGAAACTAACGATGCCACTAATCACACACGTCCACACTCATTCCGTTTCGCCTATTTCGATGATTGTTTCTTTCATATTTTTTTTTTGCTCCTTCTCTTTTCGAAGTTAATTAGGAATATTCTTTTGTGGTTTTTACTGCGCACCGCTATTCTAAGCTGGTTTTTCGAAAGGAATATTCATTAATTTCACTTTTTTCACAAACCTGATTGTTCAAGACTTTTTTTTTATCTCGATATTGTGGGTTTCACAAAATCAAAATCTCAACAACGAATCAACAACAAAATTCAGAGATTAAACAGTTCGCGATTATTTTTTTTCTCGTAAAATTCACGTACTACAACGAAAATAATGTACTATTTATATGTAAAATACACTAAAACTCATTGATGACTGCCCGATGAATGTGCAGGATTTTATGTGATTATTATACCTTTTCTTTTCGAAAAAAACTGTATTTTCTCAATGGTCAGATCGTGACCTTTCTGTAACAAATCTAAAAACAGACTAACTCACTAAATAATTAGTCAATTTGCATATATATTCCGTTGGAAGAAGGAAAGACGGATAGATAGCATAGATAAAATACAGACAAAAGGCTAAACGAACTAATCGATAGCAATATCTACTGCCCATTTATTTGTTATGTGTTCGTTGTGTTTTTTAGCACTACATGAAATGTAGAGCTACTAATCTGCTCTTTTTTTTGTCTTAATACTTTTTGACTACTGAAACGAATTATGATGAGTTTGAATTTTATGCTCATATTGTTAATTCAATTTAAACCAGAGGCAGTGTCTTTCAAAGAAGAAATTAAACCAAGATCTTGTAATTCATTATTGAGATAACTGAGAAAATCTTTTTTCTATACCTACACAGTAAACACGATGTTAGAAGTTAGAACTTTTAAAACCGCAATATGAAATTTGGCACTAAAAACCATTTAAGTACCATTTGTACTAGAAAAAGTTCAAAATGTACTAAATCAAAAATCAAAGCTCCATGTATTTATTATAGAACTTTTGGATTGTTTCTAGAGCAAATGGTACTAAAACCAAGTTAAGTGTCAAATCTCAACTTTGCTAGAATCATTGTGTTCACTGTGTACTTTGTTGCAAATATATATCCTTCGTACTATGCTTTCAATCCATAGTGTTATTAAAAGGGACGACTTTTAATGATATATTACTGCAAAGTTACTTCGATGATATAATTTTCATGTAGTGTGCAAAAAAGTAGTTTGTAGTGAAACAAAAAAATAGAATAAGTAACTAAAATCTCAAGAACACAGAGTGGAGCGAAGCGACGGTTTGGTTTTTCTTTGCCCCGCTGTGTGAATGATTTTGACATTTTTGTGATTGCAGAGAAGTCAAACGGTTAAGGGCTCGCACACGCTCATTTGTGACCGCTCAGTTTAACACTCATCATTTTTTCAGATTGTTTTTTCTCGCGCTCTCTCTATCTCTCTCTGCTTCATCTAATGTATAATTTATGCGTCATGTGTTTGCACATGTTGTGTGTGTCATAAAAACGTCAGAACTGTTCAATTTTTCGCCACTTTAAGTGCTTTCGTTGATTATTTTATTTCATGCAATTTAATGAAGTGATAATAATGACACGATGCCTTGCCAACTTGTGCTTGATCACTTGTCGATCACTAGAACCTTTTTAAAAATCGTTAACTAACCAGTTGAACCGAATCGATTCAGCCTCACGAAATCGTGAGAGTGAAATAAAAAAAAATAACCCGACACGATGATGATCAGGTGTTGTTTCTGCATTTTTATGCCATTGTCAGTCATATTTGGTCGAATGTTTCGTCAAGAGTTGTACGATTGTTAGATGTGAAGAATAGTTGTCAATTAGTGTGAATACTTCTTGAATTTACATTTAAAAATTTTAAGCTCGTTAAGAACAATCATCCACAAAAATGCCAAAGCATTGGCATGTCTCTGGAGCGAGCACACACACGCGCGCTTCGAAAGGGTTTGCGACGATGGTCGTTCATATTTTCTGTTTTGTTTTCATTTCCTTTGCAAACAATGAGAGATCTACAGAATCTTCCTCAGAAGCCAAAAACGAACAGAGAGACGTACCCGAAAAAAAAAAACCAGAAAAAAAATTGCAAATTTTATTCAGATTTATGTTTGTTCGTCGTTCTAATAACACATTCTTTTCTTTTTGAATTTGTTTCACGAGTTTTGCATCGCATCGTTATATTCTTCATTTTTTTCCTCCTCCTCCTCCTCCTCCTCCTCCTCCTTCTTCTTCTTCTTCTTCTTCTTCTTCTTATTCTTAAACCAATGACGATTTGTTGTTTTTGCTCGCAAAAAAACGTAAACTCATTCTCAGGTCGAGATGTTTGGTGTCTACATTGGCCAAAAGTTATTCCAAGTATTTGTTCTTGTTCCTATTATTGTGTTTAGATTGTCAGCAGCGGCAGCAGCAGCAGCAGCAGCAGCATTTGAAGCATGGTACTCGATCGATGATGGATCAGTGATTTTTGTTCCAAAAACACTTGAAAACCGCGCAACGGTCTCGTTTGCCATATATGTATAAAACCAAACACAAAACAGAGAGACAGCTGAACTCGTTAACGACATAATTGGCCCGAAATGTTTCGAATGTTTAAGCATTGGAGAGCACAGAGAGATAGATCTATCAGCGAGACAGAGATGTGATGAAGAATGAAACAATTTGAGCAGAGGAAAAAAATCCAACAACAACGAAGAAAAGATCCAGAAAACAAGACACATTAAACGAAAAACGATAACCAAAATTGATTTGAGGCCAGGAAAAAAAAACACACACAAAAAAACAAAACAGAAAACACCATTGATTATTATTGCTGGCCACGAATGGCAATGCCGGATGAAACGAATGACTAACGAAAATGGAATTTCAAATATTGTAAAATTAACAATATATTATTTAAAAAAAAAATCGAATGGCCAAAGAATTTCCACATTTGTCTTCGGCATGTCTACCGAGACAAGAGATTCCGAGAGGGAGAGAGAAAGAGCGCGCGAGCTCGAACATTTGTGCCGAAGAATAAGAATGTTTCCATGCTTTCATATTTCTTCATCACCATCATCAGCAGCAACAACAGCATCAGCATCAGCAGCAGAAGTATCAAAATCTCACCGCACACAAAAATGTGCCGCATCAAATGCAAAACGAGTCGCGGCTGTTGGTTGCATTTCTTTTTTATGCAATTTTGTTCTCTTATTTTCATCGTCAAAACCAATTGCATTGCACTTGCCCTATGACATTGGGTGCATCTCTTCAGTGTGGCTGGTATCGTTTGTTCGAGACAAGTCTAACCGTTCTTAAAGTGAAAAATGATCCAAAGTCAGAATGAATGAGCTTGCAAATTGGTTGGTATCCATTTTGGATAAGCACTTCATTCAACTCGTTCGCATGATTAATGTTCATCAGCCCGGGCAAACAACACTTTGAACGAATTGAAAGAAATAACAGAAAATAAAAACAAAATAAACAACCGTACATAAAAGTGAAACAAAGTGATTTGGCCGATTCTAGAAACTACTAAAGTTTGATTAGATTAAGTTGGATAACAAATGTTTTATGTTCGAGAAAAAAAACACATTGAACAATACACATTTCGCACCGTTCATTTTGTAGAATGAAAACTGCGTTATTTCCCGTTCACTTCGACATTTTTTGTTTATTTTTGATTCGGCTGTGTGTTTCTTTTTTCGTGCAACGCAATCCATTATATCTCGACACTGTTCACCTGAAGTTAAATGCTGGAAAGTACAAAGAAACCGTCTACTTATTAGTCATACAGAATGAAACTCGTGTACTGGGTTATTAAGCGAAATCAATGACGATGCTTCACACGATTGCATGCGCACAGGGGAAAAAAGAATAATGCTCATTAATTATTCGCTACATTGATTGGGGGCTGCACTTTCGATACAGTTATAGACGTAATACATTCTTGAGCATTCATCAAATTCACTAATAATAATAGATGCTTCATTAGAATTGTTTTTTGTTTGTTCTCATGAATGGCGTGATATCGCTACGTACAATCGGATTTTCTATTTTTCTGTAGAAAATTCAGCACAACGGTTTTTCGTACGGGGTCAGTATGCATCACGGAAGAGATAAAAACCAAAAATAACTTGCAATAATTGAGTGATGAGGATTTGAAATCGTTCAATTGAGTAATTTTTACGGATAAACTGTAATCCATCATCCATCGTAATTGCTAGCTAACTCCTTGTTATGAAAATCTTCTTCCTCGACATTCCTCTTTAAGCGAAGCATTCACACATGATCCGCGTGAAAAATGAAAAATAGCCGTGTTATGCAATCGTCGAGGTTTTGTCTTATCCCATTATTAAATTACCATGTTACAACAAATATTGGGCAATATTTATTGATTTTGTGACTACATCGGATTTATGTCATCGGAAATGGGGCAAAGCGAACCTTCGAAATCAAACATTTTCACTTTTAACAATGAAATTTCTCGTTGGGCGGAAACAAAAGTTGAGTCACTTCTGATTTAAAAATGTGCCCATGACGTTCGTATTTGAATTTATGACACTGACAACTTGGCAAACAATTCAGTGTGGTTCACTAAGTCTCATTGTCTATAAGATACACTTTTATGATAATGTTGTGCCTTTTATTATCTCATATCCGGTGATTTCATAGTTTTCATTTCAATCAGCGAAAAAGTCTACGAATTGGAGCGCTGAAATTCACATGCGGTCGCAATTCGTGGTAAAATAAAAATTATGTTGCAATGAACCCAAAAAAAAAAACGAAAAAAACTTCCGCAACAGAATTGGTGTTGCATGAAATCATTGGAATACCCATAGGAACACTATTCTCAAAAGAATATGACACATTCGTTGCTTATTTTCTCTCCATCTATTACTTATCACACACCAGCAAATAAACATTAGTACTATTGACATATCTGCAGTTAAAATCGCATAATTCATTCGAATAGAAATGACGAACGGTCGAACCATATATGCGCACCACGCACCAATAGCACAAAAATCGATTTTTTTACCCGCTTCGTAAACTTCGTTCGTTTAAAACAAATAAGATTTCCAAATATAGAACGATAATCGGGCGCGAAGCTTTGTTTGATTTATGAATAATGTTTGTGAATAATGAGAAGTAAATATGACACGATAAGATTGATTTTTGTACCCGTCCTTGTAATTTTTATCATTTCGAAAATATTGCAATTGCTTTTAAATTTCAAATCAATTTTTTCTGTTCGTTTCTTTCTCTCTTTCGCCATCTGTGGAGCAGCAATTAAAAATAATAATGAATTTTTTTTGATCATTTTCATTTGCAGATGCAACGAAGTCTGTGATCTATGGAACTGAACCGCCAGCCGCATTAGATAGCGACAAATTCAGCGAAATCAGCTTAGATCAACCAGTCGATGCGGAGGTTATAAGCACTCAGCCACAGGAGTATAATCCATTACAGAATTTAGACACATTTTTGCCCGTTGCAACAGACGAACAACAACAGCAGCAGCAACGTGACGAAAATATATTTTCTCAGGCTACGGCCATAAAAGACTCGTTGTCACAATTGCCGGTTGTTTTGCCAGGTGTTGCGTCGTCAGTGTTTTCATCATTTTCGAGCATTTTGAAGGGAGGAAGGACATCGCCATATCCACCGGGAAAAGACTCCTCTTCGCACACGAGTGCTGATCCGTCGAATTACACCGAGCAGTTGGCGGAAAATCACGAAACAAGTACGACGAATCAATATCAGTGCTTTTATGATCAATCAATTCAACAGCAGCAGCAGCAGCAGCAGCTACAACAGCCTGAAACTCCTGCGGTTGTGCCAACATTTTACTCGCCGACTGATCCAACCATTCAACGACCCGAAGCCAGTTTATCACCATCGTCTGAGAATCAATCGAGTAATTTGTATCGATTGAAAGAGAGAAAAAAATTATATGCACCAATACCTGGATTGGCAAACAATCCAAATCTCATTTCACCCAATCCGATACCATCGAATTCGATCCCACCAAATCCGAGTGTTTCTCCTTCACCGGGCCTAAGCCAACCGACAGCAGCTGCAGCTCCCAGTCAAAATAGCTCTTTTTCCTTATCGTCCTTCTTCAGTGGAGCTCCACTCTTGGATAAAGTTTTGCCGAAATTCCCAGAACCTGCGGTAAACGTAGATCAAGGACCATCGCAGCCATTTTTCTACAGCCCATCCCAGCAACCAGCACCCACAGCATCACAATTCTTTAATCCGAATCAATTCAGTGCATCAGATCCGCATCAACAGAATCCACACAGTTCAAACGAAGAGAACTTTGTTCATTCCACACAGCCACCGTTCATTGTCAGTAGCGTTAGTGCACCACCATTGCAAGCGACTCTGAATCAACAACCAACACCGCCACCTATTGCAACTGTAACCTCGTTCAATCTTAACCCATTTCAGAAGCCTTCGGTTCAGCAGCAGCAGCCTGCACCTCGTCCACCATCAACACCACAAATATTTAACGTAAACGCATCGCCATTAGCAACAGAATCTACCCAACAAGTGCCACCGACAATTCAGCCATCGATTGCAGCTCCTCCTGTCGCTCAATTTTTCCAGCCGAGTCCATTCAGTGCGCCAAATCTTCAGCAGCCGCCGACGATTGGATCGAGTAAAATCCACTTGGCTCAATCAACTCCACCACCATTCAGTGTCGGCGCACCGCCGTTGCCAACAGCCATAAGCTCTACTCCACAGACGCCAGTTGCAACTCAGCCAACGCAAACCTCAACTGCACAGTTCTTCAATCCGAATCAATTTGCAGCACCGAGCTCACAGCAACCAATTAGCTCGAGCGGGAGTTTTGTCCAATCAAATCAACCACTTGGTGTCAACACACCGCCATTACAAAACCAAAGCTCGGTTCAACAGCCAGCTGTTACACCAAATTTGTACAATCTTAATCCATATCAAAATCCATCGGCTCCGCTTCAACCACCATCTGCATCAAGTTCGCCAGCGCTTGTACAGCAAACTGCGATACCAAATTCGTATCTGCCACCAAGTGCTGCTCCACCATCATCTGGACAGAGTGTGAGCTATCGATTAAAAGGCAAACCGCATTACAGACAACCAAATCAAGCGGTGGCACAGTCACAAGCAGCGAATCCATCGGTACTATTCTTCAATCCCGTGCCAGTTCAACAACCCATTGCAACATCTAATAATTTCCAAATATTCAATCCATTGGGATTTGATAATTCGCAACAACCTACTCAACAGGCTTCAATTGCAGCTATTCCTAGCGCTCAATTTCCAAGCGCACCTCCTGCTTTGATTCCCTCGCAATCTGTCCCAAGTACACAGTTTCCACCATCTATTCCGCAAATCCCGATTGCTCAAACGCCACCAGTTCAATTTCCAGCGGTACCAGTTCCTCAATCTGAAAGTGTAGCACCGCCGCTGCCAGTAAGCGTTTTTAATCCATTTAATCAAGCATCGTCTACACCAGAAACAAGCCAAGTAAATCTTTTAGAAAAGCCCGTATTGAGTCAGCCGCCATTAAGTGAAAACGTAGCAGAAGATAAACCCATTGCACTTCAACAAGACTATCAACAAAGTGCACCACCATTGAGCTTCATTGTCCCGCAAGACGCATTTCCATCGCTTCCAATCAATACAAGTGCAATTTCGGAACCAAGAAAACCACTTTTCAGCAAACCATTCACTGTAAGACAGACGCTATCGAGTGAAAACGTAGCAGAAGTTAGATTTGAGCCGATCAAACCAGAAGCAGAGGTCGAATCAGAACCAGAACCACCAAAACAACCGGTAATTCTGGATTTCTTTCAATCGACACCATTCGATCCATTCCAACAGACTCAGCAGAATTTCAACTTAGACAATATTACTCCACAAGCTTTAAACGATAGCAACGCGAATACGGACAGCATAAATACAGGCGTTCAAAATTTAACTCTAGACACGGAAAATAATTTGATCACAGAAAGTGCTGTGCAACAATCGACGGAGCCAATTGTTTTTAAACCAGTTGAAACATCGACTTTTGATCCAATTTCATTCTTTAACAATAACTCAACGGAATCGGTTTCTCGTGACTCGTCGAACGCAAACGAATTGCAAATCCAGAGTTTCTTCAACGAACCACCTCCATTGTCCGAAACACAGGAGAACGTTCAAGAGAAAAATTTCAATTTTATTCGCACAAATTTGCTGAACAAACGCATCGAACGCATTGCAAACGCTGAAACGGCCAGCCCCGAAACGCTTTCCATCGCATCCGTTATCGCGGAACCAGCATCGTCGGCGCCATCAGAAACATCGTACATCGATCCACCAACGGCCGATGTAACAGCACAATCGCTTCCGGAATCATTGCAAAATAATCAAGTGAGTGGTGGGAAAAGAATATGAACGGATTTAATTTGCCATTTAAAAAACGTGTGAATAATTTTCAATTCCAATATTTTAAAGGATCAAGTAACATTTATGTAATGCTTTCTACCGTTAAATTAAGTAATGCTTTTGCCCACTTCAGTGGTGCATTTGACCATTAATTCACATACAATCCCGTCCGAATCGGATGAAATTCGGGTATCATCCAACTGTACGCTACACTCGAATCACATCCATTTGTGACGGTAATAATGGGTGTGAAAACTGATTGACTGACTGAGAATTATATATGTACAACAGATTTGATCATTTTCATCTTTGAATCAATTGAGAAATCAGAACCGTTGTGCAACATTTTCAGTTGTAAATGTCACTTGAAATCTTCAAACTATTCATTAGCTCTAGAAATATGCACGATATAATAATCATTTTTTTATAATGTCATTGGAACTTCTTCTCATTTTGTCTAAGAAAAACGCATTGAAAATGGTCAGTTCCATTTTTGTTTTGTTTATATATTCGTATAAAAAACTGTCGAAGCAAAAACATTTTGCTTCTCTTTGGAGATTTCCCTTTCTGTCTCCAATTCGTAAAACAGCAGTTTTGACGCAGCAACCGTCACGCCAATCAAATGCTGTCGATGAAAAGTAGAGCGTAGATTAAGAGGATAAAATAAAACATTAACGATTAGTTATTTTCAAAGCTTGATTTTTGTGGCTTTGTACATTAAAATATGTGTGCAAATACACGATGTAATACGGGTTAAACCCGTAGGTAAGTTGTTGTATGTAAGATTTTCTCAATCAGTTGGTCAATTTCAATATCCACACCAATATTTACCAAAGTCATAAATGGACCTAGTTCAAGTGAAGCGTACAGTTGGATGATACTCGAGGTGGGTCCATTTATGACGTTGAAATTCGTAGTAACTGTAGTCAAATTAACCCCCAAATTTTACTTTAAATGTTCACCCTAATATAACCTTGTTTCACACGTGATTTGTTATTTTGTTATCAATTGATTCATACTCGTTTTTATATCCTTCTAATTGATTTGTTTTTACCGTTTTTTTTCTACCTCCATTGTGACGTTAAAAATGACTGAAACTACACACAAATGCGGGCCTTAATTCGACCGTTTACATACGCTTGGTAATGGATGTATTTGCGTCAACAATTGTTTCTTGGGCAGGATCAAGCAGACGGTATAAATATTTACAATTGGTTAAATAAGCAAGAGCCACCAAATATGGCAACAACACCGGTTGAACGCACTTCAACACCAGCCACAAGCTCATCGACTAACATTGCCTATAGACCCGTTTACAAGCACTGGTTCTACAAGACAACCAGCGAATCGAAGAGAATATGGATTCCATTCTCTTTCCCCGACTCAATGCTGCTCGAAGAAGCATTTGTTACTAAAGGTTCGATTTTTTTTCTGATTTCCGAAACATTTCATTGATGCGACTTTTCTTCTCTAAAACAATTTTTCGCTCTTGCAGATAAAGATATTGTAACGACCGATGGCGGTCGATTTGATGTAAATATTCCGGAGCGTACACGAAACGCTGTCTATTGGACGGCAGAAAGTAATGAAGTTCGGCGTTGTTCATGGTTTTATAAGGGTGTTGATTTCCGATTGATCCCCTATGAAGAGCATGTGGCTGAACAACTCGAAGAGGAATACAGAGAAGCATCACACACTGGCGAATGGCAACGGAAAATACCGTTGACAACCGGTGAAACAGTCATATTCAATGGACCTAGCGACATTTTACATTTTCTGCAGTCACAGTCAACTGATGGATGGAACAATGCAATGGTGAGAAATTAAAATGAAATTCTAACGTATGAGAATATGGGACGTTTTACCGATGATTTCTTCATTTTGTAGCAAAACACCGAAGTTAGACCACGAGCAGTGAAACGTGGCACAGACGAATTCGCAATCGATGATGGTGAACCCGAACAAATTGATCATTTACTATTTATGGTGCATGGAATTGGCAGCGCGTGCGATTTGAAATTCCGTAAAGTTGAAGAAGTTGGTAAGTTCGATCAATCTCAAGTCACCAAAAATTCTGAAGAATTCATTTCATTGTACAAAATTAATCCAAATTTCCAACGATTTTCATTTCCATTTCAGTGGATGAATTCCGTAGTATTGCATTACAATTAGTTCAGTCGCATTATCGGAGTTCATGTGATCAAGGTATTGTCGGACGCGTCGAAGTCTTACCCATTTCATGGCATAGTGAATTGCATTCAGAGGAGTCAGGCATCGACGAGAAATTGAAGGCAATCACTTTGGAATCGATACCAAAATTAAGAAATTTCACCAATGACACATTACTCGACATCCTTTTCTATACTAGCCCGGTATTTTGTCAGGTAATTTCCCGCAAAATAGATTCAAATAATGAACATAAATGAAATGAAAAATTTTGGTTCGTTCAATTTGTAGCAAATCATTGACGCTGTCTCTGGAAATATAAACAAATGTTATGCAAAGTTTTGTGAGCGAAATCCAGATTTCCACGGAAGTGTATCGGTGTCGGGTCACAGTTTAGGATCAGTAATTCTCTTTGATTTGCTTCAGCATCAACGTGTTGAAGTGGAAAATTCAGAGAATCTTGAGAATGCAACACGTGTAAAATCGCCATTGAAACGGCATTGTTCGCAACAAATCAACTATACAATAGGCAATGCTGGTACTGGTCAACCGTATATTTCGTATCCACAGTTGAGTTTCCAGCCCAAACACTTTTTCGCTCTTGGATCGCCCATCGGAATGTTTGTCACCATTCGTGGCATTGATGCACTCGGATTGGAATTCAAACTACCAACCACCGAACACTTTTTCAACATTTTCCATCCGTACGATCCAGTTGCCTATCGAATTGAAGCGTTGGTCAATACCGAGTTGCAGTCGATGCGACCGGTATTAGTGCCGCATCATAAAGGACGAAAACGAATGCATCTCGAACTGAGAGAAACGGTCGCACGTGTCGGAGCTGATATCAAACAGAAAATACTGCAAACATTGAAATCAACCATCGACACCGTCTACAGCTATACCACGCTACACAAGGGTGGTCCAAACGACACAAAAGCTATTACACAGGAAGTGAACAAGGTTTGTTTTCATGGAAAACAATTTTTATGTCACGAAATATGCAAAAATAATACATGGACAAACTAATTATGATGTACATTTTCGGGTTTTAGGTCATCGATGAGCAGCTAACTTTGGATGATCTTGAAACATCGGCCAACACATCGAGCGCATCCAGTGAAATTGATACGGGCGAAACGGATTTGGCACTCGGCAAATTCAACGGTGGCAGACGAATCGACTATGTTCTACAAGAAGCACCACTTGAAATTATCAATGAATACCTTTTCGCACTCACAAGCCATGTTTGTTACTGGTATGTGCCATTTCTCAACATTTTCTCGAATTATAGATTTACTTCTTCTCCTTTACTTTCTTTCGATATTCACCTTTTTCATTCGATTAAAGGAAATGGTGTGGATATGAAATCAAAATGTTTAATGCCTCAAATTTGTAATAAATTTGTTTTATTCTCAATTGCAGGGGTTCGGAAGACGCCACTCTATTTATAATGAAGGAAATTTATACATCGCTTGGTGTTCAAGCAGACACTAAAATACCACAGCCTACAATGACAATTGAACGACCTTCACCAGCTAATTCAGTAAAATCTAGTCCAACGACTAGCTAGGTTAATTCATAAATGTTTTTTTAGTTTCTTAAATAAATATCTACTTTTTCCATATTTCGAAACAGAAAAAAAAAATTGAAGAAGAAAAAATGAAAGAGAAAAAGCGATCAGTTTATGTACTACGTATATCGGGCTTTTGCCCGAAAATATGTTCAAACTCGTCAAATATTCACCGTTTATAGTTCTTTTTTCTCTCGGTAAAAATCAAAATTTATAGCATAATTTGTTACTGTAAAGAAAAAATATTTGCCAATTATCTAAATGAAAAGAAAACAAGAAAAATTTGCGCAAAACTGTATCATATATCGACTTTATTAAATAAAATCAAAACAGAAAAAAAAATATAACAAAACACCTCTTTGATTGGGTATTGAAAAATGCCTATTGATCTTTTATTTTCATGTTTACATTTTGTAGTGTGTATTTGGCCGTGACCAATTTACTTTTTATTGTTGTGGCTGTTTGAGCACTATGTGCAAGGCCTCTTCGTCTTGTTGAGTTATCACAAAATATGTGGATTTTTTTTCTTCTTCTAAATAGCCAATGAAACGGATTTTACATCTTTGATACTTTCTTTGTAGTTGGCCAGTACTGGTTTTACTTCTTCTTCAACGAATTCAACCACTTGTTGTGGGCTTCGTCCGACGAATGTGCTTGGGTCCAGAATGGTTTTAAGATCGTTCAAAATTGGTGCAAAGTATGGATCGGCCTTGACACGTTCAACTAAATCGTTGTCTTTACCAAATTGTTTCACCTGAGCGCCGGCTTCGTGTGACAGGACACGAATCTTTTCATGGCAAATTTGTCGATCGCCACCTTTCTTAACCATGGCCATAATAATATTTTCGGTTGACATAAATGGAAGCTCTTGTTGAATATTACGTTCGATAACCTTTGGATAAACAACTAATCCTTGAGAAATGTTCAACAAAGTCAACAGAATGGCATCAGCCGACAAGAATGCCTCGGACAGTGTCAATCGTCGATTGGCCGAATCGTCCAATGTGCGTTCCAGCCATTGTGTTGCATGCGTGTTGGCTGCATTGATGCTCAATGCAATCAAGTGACGAGCAATTGAACAGCATCGCTCCGATCGCATTGGATTCCGTTTGTATGCCATAGCCGATGAACCAATTTGAGTTGACTCAAATGGTTCTTCGAGCTCTTTGCGATTGGCCAGCAAACGAATGTCCGAGCACATTTTGTGAACAGTTGTTCCGAGGCTTGCCAATGCCGAAACGATTTGTACGTCAACTTTGCGCGAATACGTTTGACCTGTAACGGTGTAGCACTTCTTGAAGCCAGCCAATTCAGCAACACGTTTGTCCAATGCCTTGACTTTGGTCGAATCACCGTTGAACAATTGCAAAAATGAAGCTTGAGTACCGGTTGTTCCTTTCACACCACGGAAGCACAAATCTTCACGGCATCGACGAAGTGCTACCTCATCCATCAGAAGATCTTGTATCCAAAGTGTGGCACGCTTGCCCACTGTGGTGAGTTGTGCTGGTTGCAAGTGAGTGAAGCCCAATGTCGGTAGCGATCTGTAAGGAAATAAAGAATTTTTGGATAAAACCAAGAGAATTTGGTTTGCATTCAAATACCCAATTAAAATATTCAGCGAAGAAATTTTAACCCAAAACTCACTTGAATTCCTCGGCAAACTGTGTGAGACAGTGAATAACACGTGCCAATTGTGGCAAAATCAAGTCAAGAGCATCACGAAGAATGACCAAATCGGTGTTGTCACCAACGTAACATGACGTAGCACCAAGATGAATGATTGGAGCGGCCAGTGGACATTGTTCGGCAAAAACATGCACATGAGCCATTACATCATGGCGAGTTTTACGTTCTTCAGCTGCGGCTGCCTTGAAGTCGATCTTATCCCAATTGGCTTGCATTTGTTTGATTTGTTCGTCGGTTATTTTGAGACCGAGCTCCTGTAGAAAGATAAACAAAAAGACCGACCACCAAGTTTCAACATAATTAGAAAGCTCTTAAAACGTTTTTGCATGACGGATTTGCCCAAAATTTCAATGGATTGCATTGTGTAACGTAACATATAAAATTTGAAAACGACTCTTTTTCTTGTGTCCTTCGGAATATGATCATAAATAATAAACCCTTTTTTCTCCATTTTGACCAAGGCAACTCGATGAATGTGAATGGAAAAAGTGATTACGTTCATTGAATATATGTGCCGCGATTTGCATTCAACGAGAGAGTTTTAGTGAATGGTGAAAAACGGCATATGAACGGAATTCCACGGTAAACGGAAATGCACTCAAAAGGAAAAATTCTAAATGAATATTCAAATGTGCAATTGGTTACCGGATTTCACTAAAATGATAATTTACATACTTTCCCTCATTCCTTTCTAAATAAATATTACACAACAATAATGTCATTTGATTCGGAACAAGGATCAAAAGACCCGTATGTGGCATAATGGCAAAGAAATAACCACTCTCAAATAATAATTCAAATCAAATTGCAATGCATTGTAACTATGGCCATTAGAGACCGAACAAATTCGGTTGGTACGTACTTTTTCGGCTTGTGCAAGGAAAATCCATAGTTTGCGCCAAGTGGAAAATTTGAACTGGTCGCTGAACAAAAACTGCATTTCCTTTGTGGCATATCGTGTGCTTAATGGTGAACGATAGCCTTCATATTCGCTGTTATCGTTTCCGGACATTATTTGCTTTTGTCGTTGCACTTTTCCACAAAGAATATGAAATTTTCTGCTATTGTTTCCCCTGAGTTGTATGAGAATGCACGCAAAAGAGTCACTGTCGGCTGCGGCTGCTAATTACGTATTGGCACTTGGGATATCTGCAATCACGAAAACCAATAATTAATTCACCGTTTAAGCAACTCACTTCTTCTTCGTATTCTTATCGATAGAAACCAACAAAAAAAAGTCGTGTGGAATCAATGTAACAAACAATCCTATAACAGCCAATCTGATGTGCTTCTTTGCGTGTGTGTTTTTCATTAATCAACATTTTAGAAAAGCATGCACACATGTTATCGAAAATAACACAAAAACAATTCTAACCAAATGATAAACTTTTGAACCGATTTTCGATGTCTTAGCACACAAACATGTTTTTCTTCTCCTCGTTCAGTTGACGACTACGCTCTCATTAGACCGAATTTTACAAAAAATGAGGAATAATGATTGGTTTTTGGGGTAAACTTACGTAAAATACACCAGCCAGAAAATTATCAATGATTTTATTTGGGAAACGCGTATTTAAAACACCGTGTTGCTTAGTTAACCATATCATAACCTCACTCATATGATTTCAGGTTCACTGTTATATTAGCTTCAATCTAAAACTCATACACACATCTGTCAAAAATGCGTTGAAAACAAATGTTGGTGTTTTTTGCGTCTCTGTCGGTCGGTGCCCATGTGTTGTGAGATAAAGAGGTCGCTATACTATTTTTCATTGTGAATTGAATTTCATGGCCAATTGTTATGGAATTCGGATTACGCGCGAATTTACGTAATCAATTGCCGTTTCGTTCTAGAAACAACAAGTCAGATATGTTATCATTTACATTCAAATTTCATAATCTTTTCATATTTCTATTATTCGCTTCGATTCCACAGCATTTTTTCTTTTCGTTCTAAACAAAGTGATAAACTTCGAGCCGATGATCTAAAAACCCACTTTGTTTGTACTGATAAGAACGATATGTTTGGCAAACGAAAAATTTCGTGTAGCAAAATTTGCCGCACTTAAAATTATCATAAATCAAATTCTATTCCAAAAATAACGATCTGAACAATTTCCAATTTGATGAAGAGAAAAAAATGTCATTGCAAAATATAATGGACAGCAATGTATCGACAAATTATTACGGCATTGCGTCGAAAATTGAACACTCAATTTTAAAGGATATTTACACATTTAATTAAGCACATCATGTAATTACGCCCAAAATAGACAGACATACACTGTTCATTTCATTTCGCTGTTCTAAATTGAATGCAACTAGAATTTTGTCATTTGAAAAAGTCATAAGCGTGAAATTGTGTGTTTTATTCCATAATGTATGAGATTAATTGATGGTGAACGCAAAACGGGTGAAAACAAAGCAAAGGTGAACGCGATAAAATACAAATCAGCGCATTATAAGTGTTTACTACTTTCAGGTTAACACTTTATTTATGTATGTGACGCGACGCGCACAAAGCGACAAAAATATGATACGATATAACAACGTCTATTCTTAGGTTTTTTTTTGTCCAGTAGGTTTCCATTTAATTAGAAGAAATAAAATGACTGGATTTTCTGAAAATAGCTGAGAGTTATTGTTCAACTTGAACACCAGATGAATTAGAAACGATGAGTTGTGTATAATATTTGTGATTAAATTGTAGAAACAAGTCCCATTTTATTTTGGTTGACGAGTTACTGGGAAATGTATGCGGTAATCTTTGGTTTATAAATATGACGATTAAAAATAAAATTATCAAGAGTGACATGTTATTTTCAAATTTCACCAAATCATAATTGCGCCTAGATCGAATGCCGTCCAAATCAAATAACCGGCAACAACAACAGCTGTCCACACATGAACAGTTCAAGTGATGAAAAAGAAAAATAGCAAATGCATACGAATGTTGAGTCCAATTTTTATATAACGGAGAAATGGAATGATTTCGGATTTGAATGATTTCCAGCGGGCACGAGAGTTCAGTTGCATGAAAGCGCAGACGATAAAGCTAGATCGGCAGGTCATGATTAGTTTCATTATGACTACTGTGCGTTGTGATAAGTTGCAGAAGACGAATAAAAACTCGTAAAATATAAAAGCGACGAATTAGATCATGTCAGAATTATATTATTTATTGCGCTGGAATTTTACATGGTGCAATTGCAAGTACTCTATTTTTTTGCTCCCATTTTTGTTGCATTTTATTGCTGTATTGAATTTGGAATAAGTGGGTTCAGAATGCGGTTCGTTTTGTTTTCATTTTATCGCTGGATACTGCACCGTATTCATTCAGTGCATCGATGTACACTCCGATCAACGATGTAACTACAAAAGCCCCATAATAATAAATGAAGCCGACTATGAAATAGCAGAAAAGTGATACGAACGAAATGGAATAGAGTGAAGAGCAGAAGAAAAAAGAAGGAAGAGAGAAAAAAATAGCAACAACCACTGAATGAGCCGAATAGCCAAGCGTCGTAGTAATAGTAATAACGCTATACAACAGTGTTGTTGTTAGCTCACGAATGAATGAAATGCAAAGGTTGCCCCGTTGTTAACATTTATATGTTCGTTCTGTCGCAGTGATAATGCTCAGTTGAAGCAAGGCTGTCGAACTAGACGGACACACAATCGATATTTTTTCTTTGCATCGCACGTGGATGAACATTTTAAATATACATTGTTGACCAATGGAAATTCGTGATTAAACAACGACGGTCTGACTTATTTTTCCCTTCATTTATTTTGCAGCAATATTTTGTTCAAAGTAAAACAGTCCGTTAACGATACAATTTGAGTAGATGATTTCAATTGACCCCAGAGTTAACAACATAAAACGAACGTGCAACAGCACGATAAAACCCAATCCAAAAGACGACGCGCAAATATATCGTTAGATTGCGTCCGTTCTTCGATCGTTCTATGATCAAGAATTTTGTAGGAAAACAAATGTTATTCAGTGTTATTTGCATATTCAGTGTTACCAAGCTGTCCCTCAAGTTTATCCAATTAATGAATATATACTCATAGAACCGTGCGATTTGTGAACTTTGTGGCATAAATCCGGAAATATTCTACAACAATAATAGACGAAGTGGAAGGAGACGAGGGAAAAAAAAAACTACCGTGCAAATACATTGACAATTGTCAATTTATGCCCGATAAAAGTCAATATTATTATTAACGACAGTGATATTACGATTTCACAAACACACAGTTAAATATTTACGCTAAAAATCGACAAAAAAATGGAAGTGATACTTCGAGTCGCCGCATTTTTGCTCAAATGTCTTGGATTCATCTTGACGCCACTGTTAGGCGTCTTCAATCCATATAAAAAAGTTCAAATTCCACACCATAAAAATGAACTGTTAAACATTCCGGTCGTCGAGCTGGCTCAGAAGATCCGCAAAAAAGAGGTATTTACACGTGCATCTTGTTCTACATCACAAACAAGCAAGAAAAAAAATGTCACGAAAAAACTTTTTTTTCTTCTTCAAATCGAATCAAAACGCAGCAAATTCAGATGATAAACAATAAAAAAAAATTCTAAATGTATGAGCGAAAAAAAAGGTAGCGCTGTTTTTGTCGCACATATCCATTTGTTTATGATGTGATCGATTCGAGATTGTTCGCTTTTCACTGACGCTCATTTTATTTGTTTGCATAATTTAGAACTTAGGAATGTCACCCAAAATTAAAATCGATTTGTTTATGTTTCAATGACTTTTGCCCAGGTGACGTCTGAACAAGTGGTGTCAGCCTATATTGAACGTATCAAAGAGGTGAATCCATTCGTGAATGCTGTGGTCGAAGATCGTTTTGAGGCTGCTCTCGAAGATGCACGACGTGCCGATCGACTGGTGGAAAGCACTTCCGAATTTTTACTCGTAACCAATTATCCCATTCTCGGTATTCCATTTACTGTGAAAGAGAGTTGTTCTCTCAAAGGTAAGCATATCCAATGTGATTACACTCGTTGAAATTACACTCTTTGATCGCGCGACTTGACCTTTGCCAATACTGTTTTTTTCTCTCTGTTGAATCCGTTTGCGTCATACGCATATTGATCGATTTACAAGAAAAGCAAAAACTCATTACACTCACTTACACACACACATACATGACGCGACCATCATTCATCGAGTGATCGAATTGCTTTCAAATCTAAGTCTATTTTGCAAGCGCGTTTTCAAGAATAGCCCATTAAATTCGCATTCCGAAAAGCAATTACATCGGAAAGTGGCCATCGATATACAATGAAAATTGACGAAATTCTTCTCGTCGATGGTAAAACTGAAAAATAAAAGGCTTTATTATTCACTAGTCTTTAGACTAAATAACCGTATAACGATTTGAATTTGTTCATGAATTGCACAAACAGAAGAAAAAAGAAAACAAACAATTGGTACAAAGAAAATATAGAGTAATTTCATTAAAATCAATTCGTTATTGTTAGTGAGAGCATATAAAATACAAATGAATCAAATTAAATCTAACCTTTTTTGGCATATTCAATTTATTTGTTCCATCAAAACAAGCAGCAGTGTTTTTATAATGTGCAAGCACATGTGTATTATTTTAAATGTATAACAATTGACACACAGTTCTAAAGACAATGACGCAAGGCCATTTCGGTTGGCTGGAACAACAAACATTAAAAAAAAACCTTAAGACAAGACAGCATCATTCGCAATCTGGTTTATTCGTTTCGATTTGTTTAAATTCACCAAAAAAAATGTTTTTATGCAACATTTAATTCGAATCAATGGGTCAAATTCCAGTTTTGAAACCGCACAATATTTTTTTCTTCCAAAAAATCAGACAAAGAAGACAGGGGAAGAAGAAAAAACAAACGACAGACCTTACAACCGGCTATCATCGCGAGTAGATTCTATCGGATTCAATCCATTTACCAGTGAATCTATCCTATGTGAGCGAAAAAGCAATATATTGCGATAACGTTCGAAACGAACGGACTTTTTTGAAATCCGGTTCTGTAGTCAAGTAGCATCATTAGATGCTTTCAACGGCTGTTTCATAAATCCGTTCCATTAATGGATTTTTCGTCTCTGTCATAGAATTTGACGCTCTTCTGATCTCATGTATCGTCGAAAATTAAAACAGCTGATCAAAAATGTAGTTGACACTTTCAATTTGAGCGCGGACACCAATCGAAATAAATTTGGTCAGTGTTTCAAGTTTTGACATTAAATGTTTACAATTTCTGAGAATTTCATTTTGTTTGACACTACGTCGTTTTCTCTTATCTTCAACCGATTTTGTGCTTAGTTTCATCAGATTTATGACAGTTACATGCGTTCAATCGTGACATCGACCTCCCTGCAAAACAAAGCCATTAATCGCACGAAAATATACCATAATCACTGAAAATAAATGTCTATTGTTGGTTCTAATCACTTTCATAAATAATTCTCGCTAAAAACGTGATGATTGCCATAGAAAATATCGAATTATCACCATCAAATGACGTTTACAATAAAAATCACGTATGAACGAATGATTTCACCATCTGATTAGATGAATTCCATGTACTCGAAGGCATTCGCTATACAACAATACTGATATAAATCCAAGCAAAACCGCATCCAATGCGATAGTGTACAATGGCAAAGCATGTTTTCATTTCATTTACCATTGCATGTACCCTAAAGCAATTTTATAGTGAACAAAGAGTGTGTGTGTGTCTGTTTTGGCTACCAATAAAATATATTTATACACAATTGCATTGAAAACGTTCATAAAATGAAGGCGACACTGTCCATTCACAAAAGACTTTTCACATTTTCGCTCCAGTACACAAAGCAACACTGATTGGTCTCCATCAAGTCCCCTGAACATGACCAATTTGCACGGATCTGAGTCTCATTTTATCCATCAATTTAATTAATGGCCAATCAAAAATTCGACGCGATATAGGTGAAAATCATTGATGTTATACGAACGATGGATGGTGTGACTTAAAGTAATTATCGTTTATAATGCATCAATTTCTAATTACAACCGGATGGGTTTAATGAATATATGAGGTCAAAATCCACGATTGAACTTAATCTCTACGGATTTTTTTTCATTGAATCTCAGACTTCACCATTTTTTTCATTGATGCACTTGAAATTTGTTCAAGATTAATTGCACCTAGAATCTGTTTACATTACGAAAAAAAAAATTCTGTTCAGTAATTGATAAAATGACGTATGGCCAAGAACTAAAAAGACGAAAAAAAATTTTGAATTTTTTTTTTATTCGTTTCGTTCGCAATCGCAGCTCTGTAGACCTTGAATATAAAAATAACAGTACTTTTTCTTGTAGGGTTACGCTTAAATTACGGCACCAAAATGTGATAAAGATTACATTTATGCAGAATTGGCATTCGATTAATGAACATAAGTTCGGTATTTATGTGCATTGTTCGGGCAATAATCATAAAGTGGCGTGTATCTGTGTGTGTCAGCCAATTTGGTTTCCCTTGCATATTTGCTTGATTTCACTTCAGCAAAAAAAAAACAAAAAGAGTGAAAACGATACGCGAATAAAATGAAATATCGAGACAAATTTGGTACAATGTTGTTGAAAATTCTTTACTTTTGTTGACCTTTTGGCGACCATATCTGGTTGGATGATGTTTTCATTTTAGCCTGCATTTTAATTCTATAAGTGGTTTGTGTGTCTGCCTACTTGATTGCCCATCGAAAGTGCAATTCATTTTTATTTTCGGTGGCATCATGCCACAGTTGCGAAACAGATCGTTAAAATTCCATTTAATTCAGATTTATTTCGTTAATTTTTGTCGAAATGGTTTGTGTCAACGGCTCAAAAGGAAAATAAACAAAGATTTTAATTATGTGAACATGAAGAAGAAGAAGAAGAAGGAGACACACTCTGCTGCTTCGCAGCGCACTGAACTTTATCGTAGACAATCTTAAGTGAATGATCCTGTATGTGTGTTTGATAAAAAATGTAAATTTGATTTGTTGCACAAGTGCTCAACAAAGACATGCTCAGGCCACTTTTTTCTGCTGACTTCATCTCTCGTGTACGTACAAATCGGTGTATGTCGTTGATACGTGATACCGTACCGTATAGAACGCACAACGAAATAAAACCAGTATTCTTCTTCTCTCCTTTGTCTGTAACACACGCGTGTGTTTTTTAATCGTCTTCATGACCTTGAAGTAAGATGGAGAGAAGAACGTCATCGACTCTTTTTCTCTTCTGCTTCGACATTTTTTTCTCTCTTAGGGCATTTCACTAATTTTTATGCGATTTGCTTTGACGATGAACGCGACAAAGAATTTTCCATTTTGTTCATGTGTCGCTTCCCGATCGAGAAACAAGATTGCGGAAACCTTTATAAAGCGTTTACACGTTAATATTTAAAAATCGCTCCAATTGTCTGATGATAAATTCCGTTTCTTCTTCTTTTTCTGATGCGACACACGCAAATAAAATATTGAAGTTTGAACATCAGGAAGGAAAGAACATGCGATTGCGAAACTAACAAGATATTCGGGCGAAATCAATCATTTGGTGAATTTACATTTTGCTTGTGAAACAAACATGCGATTTTTCTTCTCTGTGTACAAACAATTTGGATAAACACGTTCACCACTGAATTTCGCCAAAGAATAATATTTACTGTGTCAAATGATGTGTTCACAAAATATTTGGTCATCGATTTATGTGAATGGACGGTTGGAGTGTGCAAATTGGATAATCGATTGACCGTGAACCTCAAACAAACTTCAAAACGGAATGATGCAAATGACAGCTTATTATAATCAGATGCCTACTGTTATACAGAATATCTAGCTTAATATTGCTCAAGTGCTGTTGGCCAGGCGAGAAAGGGAGAGAGAGAGAGAGAGAGAGAGAGAGAGAGAGAGAGAGAGAGAGAG